TTTAGTTGACAATATTTAAATAAAAAATTGTCTTTAATTCCAACGATATTTTGTGGAATTCAAATGTATTTTCAAAGAAAATAGTAAGTATAATTTTTTAGTCGAATTTTTCAGACTCCTCACTCCCTCCCCATTACAGACACTTAGCAACGAAGGTCCTCATTACAGATCTTAGTAATCAAGAATAACAGGCATTATATTTATTCATTAATTAAAAACACAGGAGTTGAATAGTGTAAAGAATATGAGCCTGAGTGCTGTATAATATTTCAACCCATTTATTAATATTTGAAAAACTATAACTTATTTATTAAAATTTTAATAGCGAAATTATCTACTTTTTCTAGAATTTAAGCATATACTTTAAAAATGAAGAATGAAGAGTAGTAATAGATTGCTCTGTCATAGCAATCATATAATAAACATAAAAAGCATGAGACGATCTTTGTATCAGTTTAAAAAATAAACGATAGCGTCATTTATGAGCAAATTCAAATATATAGTAGTACGATAAGAGCTGCTGATGCATATAAAGTGCATTATTATAACAGTACCAGTTATGAGATAGTCGATGGTGAAAAATAATAATGTTAAACTTTAAAAAAATGATTAATATCGAGTGCATAGTAACAATTACAAATGAAATCGGACACTCAAACAAAGAACTTTTTGTTTCAAGTGTAGAATTAAATAACAAAATCTCGCTCTTGTCATCAATTATCAATGAAAAAAACTAGTGTACAAGAAATTCTTCAGTTTTCATATGATATGTCAGAACTTTAAGGTTTAAGAATGTATGTAAGGTTCAGATCTCAGTACCAAAGAGCTGCGCTAACAAGTGCTTGAGCTTACTTAAAAAGTTTTTCATTTTTTTATACCAAAAATATCATCTGACTTGGATACACAATGATCAATCAATATATCACGTAGTGGAATAACTTTATATAAATTCGGTTGAGTTTCATCACTAAGAATTGTTATAATTTGATCAAATCGTTGAAGAAATTGGCAGAGATCTGACAATAAGTCTCGATCAATAGATTCAAAGTTGTTGGAATGAGAACCACTAAAGACATCAATTAATTCATCATAAATTGAATTAAAAGCATTCTAAAGTATAGCAATGAGATTTCGCTTAAGGATCTATTTTAGTTAAATAAAACTGACCAGCATAAAATATGCACCACTGAATCGAGTAGAACTAAATGTTTGAAGTTTACGTGAAAGCTTAATTTGACGATGGCATCTTCGAAAATTTCCAACAAGTGATTTAACAGCTTCAAACACTTGTATTACTTCGGTACAATTACTGTTTGATATTGTAAAAGAATGCTCCAAAATTTTGTTGATATAATGGTCAGCACAACCGATACGATTAGCACCACGTAGTGCTGCTATCATTTTTGGTTCATTATCAGTCGTAATGAATGAATTTTCATTTAATGAAAGACCATATTCTAATAATAAATCATCAAGAAATTTGCGAACATTGGATGCTGTTTGATTAGCTAAAGTATACGGTTTACAACCAAGACAATATGAATGTAAATAAAAGTTTATATCAACATGGCGTATTGTTACACCACAAAAGTGAATCCCTAAATTAGATTGCAAAATCACATCATTTTGGAAACGAATAAACATACCACTGAACTTCTCAGTCCACATATCAACTGTTATTGCATAAGTATCAAGCGTTCGACACCAATCCACCAATTGTTTCTTCCTGACATCATATATTTGATCAATTTGCCGACTCACCTATGATGATAAAAAGTAATATGATTTAATAATGATAATGATAAACGTACTGTAGTTGGATGCGGTAATGCATCAGCAAAATCAAGTACACCCAAATTACTTGAACATTTACCGGCATTATAAACTATTTGAAGTAATTGGCGAAAACCAACATCAGATACAATTTTAAATGGACGACTATCCAACAGAATAAAATCAACATAAGCATCGGTTATTTGTTTTTTTAATTTTACTGGTACGATTGAAGGTTTTTTACCATAGTACGTTGTAATTGTTGATTGTGTGGCTTTAGGTGATGATGTTTTCTTGCAGGATATTGAATGTTTTTTTAAACCACCAGTACCTGTAGCACTTCGATAGGTAATAATTGTTTGACATATATTACATATAACAAAATTTTGAACAATTTTGTTAACACAAATAAGATTAAATTGTGACCAAAATGATGAAGCACGATCGGTTTGTTCAACTTGTTTCAGAGTAATCGATAAATCATTTTGTTTTATTAGTCGTTCAAGTTCATTACGTGCTAATAATTTTGACGTCATGATCAATTAGAAAATGATATTGAATCAAGCACTCAATTATTAAAAATAATAAAATAGTGGAAGCTTTGTCTAAATCTGCTTCAATTCGACCATGGGACACTCACAATATTTATTGGACGTTCATAAACCAATACTATTCTAGAGAAGTTCTAGTTATTATAATCAACAATAGTTGTCGTAAAAAGCATGTATCGCACACTAGACATGTGAAAAGTAGGGGAATAATCAGATTAAAATTGATTGACGAATGATTAAAAATCGATTATAATCACACAGCTTTAATCGACTAAAAATCAATTATTAATCGATTATAATCAAAAATAATCAAAATAACCAAAATTTCATCGATTATTTCTATTATTTTCGAATATAATACATAAAAAATTGTGAAAAAAATATCAATTTTAATCGACATTTCGTTATGGTAAATTCCAAAATCTGAAACCGATTTTCATAGATTCTCATAGACTAAAATCAATTATTTGAACTTTTAACTGGTTATAATGGAAAATTATACGATTAATCTATGAAAATTTGATTTTTTTGATTATTTTTGACTATAATCGATTCATAATGAATTAAATATCAATTAAAGCTATATGATGCTAACCGACTATGAATCATTTTTTAATCGATTTTAATCTGATTATTCTCCGTTTTTTACATGGACAGAGGCTAGCAATGTTTCGAGCTCAAATCGTAACTGCGGATGTGACTAGTTTAAAAAAATCTTCGTGACCGTGACCGTGACCGTGACCGATTTTGAAAAATTTCCGTGACCGTGACCGTGACCGTGACTGTGAGCTCGTGACCGTGACCGTGACTAAAAATCATGGTCACGCAGTTCTCTAGTTACGACACATCAGCACAAACTGATGTTTCAAAGCCTTGAACAACGATCGACAAAAGATTAAGCCGACTTACAAACTTGGATTTTTATAAATCAGAACATATTCTACCCGATCAAATGTGTTCGTCATACTATATTTTTTCA